GACGGGCGTGGCAGCGTTAGGGCTTTTTCCTGGCTAAACAGGAGAGCAGCTAAAAGGCCATCTGACTGAAACCAGACAAGGCACCCTAGGTAGAGGCGACAAGGGGATGATGCCCTTTCCTAACTGGGGGGTAGCAGGCCTCCTAAAGGACACGGGCCTAATGCCGTCCCTGGTACCTCGCCTGTCGTCTGGTGTGCACGTGCCACCCCCCGCTCTATAGTGATGCCCTTGACACTCCTGTTGGGCACAACCAGGAGGCCCGGGACGAAAGCTCAGGCTGTCCTGATCTGGGTGCTTCAACTGCGGGGGAGCGGGAGGGCGAGGGGAGGAAACCCCAGCAGAGACTCTTTGGTGCCCTTTTTGGAATTCACGAATATGTGAACCGTTTAAGCCCCTCTCTCTAGTTACCTGGAGCAAGCTGATTTCCTGTTTCAGTTTTAGGACGTGATTTTCGGCCTTTACTGCCCGTTTCTGTTATTCCCCCCACAAAAAGAGAAAAAAAATAAGAGGCATCACTGACACGGTAAAATGGACGCAGGGCGCATCCCCTCCCTCCCTGCCCCTCCCCCTCCCCGTCCCCCTCCCTCCCCGTCCCTCTCCCTCACCTGGCGGCCCCAGCTGGGCAGCCCACTGTGAGGGGCCCTGCTCACTGCCGGCCTGCCTGGGCCCACCCAGACCCATGTGCCCCCGGGGCAGGACTCAGTGCCCTGTGGGGAGTGACACAGCAGACACCGACAGTGTCCAGCCAGGCTGGCCCCGCCCACGCCCCACTGCGAGCCAGGCGCCTGTCTGCTCACGGTCATGCGCTCCAGATTCTGCTCCACCTGCTGCACCACCGACTCCAGGTCATGGTAGTCACTCTCCTCCTTGATCATTTTTGCTTCTAACTTCCGCTCGAGCGTCCTCACCCTTGTTAAGGAAAAAGCCCAGGTGACTAGTAACTCCCTTGACTAATTCTAAGAATGTCAGGCTATAAACAGTTTTAATTGGATTTGATCAAATAAAAACCACAAGGTTTCAGAATGCACCTTGGGAGGAACAGCTGTGAGGCGACCACCTCAGAGCTGGATGCCAGTTGGCTGGCGGTCAGGGGCGCCCTGGGGCCGTCTCACAGCTCTGCTGCTCCATTGTCAAGTGGGGTTGATTTTGCTCTGTTTCAAACACACTTTTACACAAAACATAAGAAACGTATCTGATGCTGAGGATTTAATGCAATAAACCCACTCTCACGCAACTACTGAAGCCTGCATGCCTAGAGCCCGCGCACCGCAACGAAGAGTAGCCCCGCTCGCCGCAACTAGAGAAAGCCCGCGCGCAGCAACGAAGACCCAACGCGGCCAAAAAGAAATAAGTTAAATAAACGAACTAATTTTAAAAAACAAAACAAAAAAACAAACAATAAACCCAGGCACAGTCCAACTCTGATACTTCATTATCGTTTTCGCATGGGTTTCTTTGAGGGTCAGAAGATAATTTGAATTGCAAGCCTAACTCAAAACTTACGTACATTTCTGTTTGAGTTTCAGAGAAGCTCTGAACCTCGGTCAGCTTTCTTCTTAGCTTAGAATTTTCATCTTTCAGCTGCAGAAAAAGAAAATCCTCATTAGAAGCTTGGTGTCTCACTGCAAAGGGATGTGTACTTCTGTTACTCGGCTCCGCAACTTCTTGATAAACAAAAACATTGCAAGAGCCACTCTACGGTCCACATACAGAGAAAAACCAAGAACAAGGTTTTCTGCTTTCTAAAGGCACCACAGTCACAGACTCCAGTCCTACTGAGATCTTATAACTCTTGGGTGACTATAATTTTTCAAATGCCCTCAGGACACCGGGCAAGCTGTCCCCGAGCCACCAGCTGGGGTGGACCCTTTTCTGAGGGCAGCGCGTTGAGGATCTCCCTCTGCTCCAGTTCACGCCCCCTCACAGCCCTCCGCAGGACTTTGGCGGTTACGCTCTTGCCGGTCAGACAGACCACAGGCTGTCTTGTCCTTAGAGCCCACCCCCGGCCATCAGGGACACCGGGGGCTCCAGGTTTCCTCCAAGAATGCTGCTTAGACACGAGCCGCGACCAGGGTGCCGACGCACAGCCCCCTCACTTACTGCTTCGTAACTTATCTGCAGCGTCCGAAGGTGCCTGTCCCCCAGAGACTCTCCGTGGACTGTGAAGTCGGTGCTGGGGCTCCCGGCTGGTGAGACGCGGGAGTCGGAGTCGCTCAGCATGCACGGAGGCAGAGACTCAGGCCCCACCAGCTCCGACGGGTTGGAGAAAAAGGAGACATAGGTGCTGCAGGGCGACGTGCTGGCAGCAACCCTGGAGGAGTGGGTCTGCTCCACGGCAGACGGCAGGTAGGCCCCGTCCCACCCTTCGTCCTCGTCCAGGAGGTCGCCAGCCCCCGTCGGGTCTTCGAAAAACGGCTGCTGATGCTCCAGGCCATACCCCATGGCCTGGGAGGTGGGGGAGCTGCGGCCGAGTCCCAGCGAGTGCCTCGTGGCTTCCTGAAGAAGACAGGGAGGCGACGCTCAGGCTCCGGAGCCGTCGCAGGCCCTTCTTCCTAGACGTCTGAGGTTGGAACAAGAAGAAGGGCCCATCTTGGCTGCCGAGAATGTGGGGGGCAGGAAGGACCCAAACGGCTCTGAGTGTCACACGGCTTCTCCACCGGGAGCAGCAGCTGCCCCGCTTTGCCCCACAGCCCTCGGCCAGCCTCCTGGGAAGCAACACTGCACATCAGAAGAGAGACGGCCTCCGGAAGGGTTTTCTGTCTAAGGTCGCTGCAAACAACGCCTTAGGTTTACCTTTGAATAAATTCTGCTGTCAGTATCCTCTTTCGACAGGCCAAGGTTCTTGCTTTTCAGAAACTCTTTAAAGGAGAATGGATTTGCCTCTTCAAGATCTCCAAGTTTCTCACCTGAGATGATAACAGACGTCACAAACGTGAAACGTCTTCTGAAGGTCCTTAAAGGGAACGTCCCTATTCGTTGCTCTTTCCTGAACACGACCCCACCTAAGATGGGGAACACTGCCCTCGTCCTTCCACCAGACCTCAGCGACACTGGGAAACGAGAAAGCTGGCTGATAAAACAGACCAACTCGGGCATTCTAAATTCTCCTTCTCGTCCCAGCTCCTCGGTCCCCGCACCTTGCTGCCCACGGGGTCCACCTGGGGACATCTAAGGCTGCCACGCGCCTCCACTCCCATGCAAAGGGCTTGGGCTGCAGCCTACGCTGGAGGCTGGCAGAGCGGACGTGCAGCCACGTCAGGAACCACTGCTCCACCTCCAGCCTTTTCCCCACTCACTCTCCAGCTCTCCCTTCTCTTTCCCACTCTGCCGGTACCCAACCAGCCACCCTGCGGCCCTTTTGGCCCACCAGTGATCCAAGCCCAGGTGTCAACCCTGTATGAAGTTGGCTCCTGTAACCCTGGCCCCACTGTCTCCTCAGACCCCTCAGGTGTGACTTCCCACCCCCTGCCATCCCTCATGCCCAGGTTCTCCTGCCCCTGTGCCCACTTTCCCTCCACCCGCTGGTCAAGATCGACTGTGGGGCTCCACCCCCACCTGCTCTTTCGGGTTATATGCTGTCAGACTGCCAGCCCTGCTGCTGGGCACGTGCCTGCCACATAGAGGCATGGACGGAGAGAAAAAGAAAGGGTTACTGAACTACTGTACCTCCAAAGTGTGTGTTCTGGGCTCCTGATGGACCGTGCATAGTGCCTTTCCCCTTTCCATAGCCCAAATCTGCAGAGACATCATCACCCCACCGTGATCATGGGAAGCCTTTATGACCACAACTTGTTTTGACATGCGGTCTCTACTGCAGTGGCTCTTACGGCCTGGGCAACTTTCAAAGCACAAGCCCCCGGGCTCCTGCCCCTGGAGATGGTCTGACATCCGTGGGCCCTGGCAGCTGTGATTCTGAAAAAGCTCCCGTAGGTCTGATGCCCCGCGGGGCAGGCGCACGTCCTCCGTCTTATGGTGCCTCCTGAATGCCCTCGTGGGTTGTCATGGGCTCTCAGACCCTGACAGAACCACCTAAACGCTCCCTGAACACCCTGGACCCCAGGCAGGCAGTGTAGCCGCTTGGGGAGAATTAGGATGAACTAAAGATGGCCTCTGCCCAGCTGCAGCGACCAGAGGATGGCTACACCTGGTTTCCCAGCCTGGCCTACTGGATGAAGGTTCCCTCATCCTCCCACCTGAGAAAGCAAGGTGGTTTCCTGTGTTGCCACTGGGCCTACCTCTATGCCGGCATTTGCCACGGTGTACTGGAACTGTCTGGCTAGGGGGGGCAGGGGGTTCTCCAAGAGGAGACTGTGAGCTCCAGGGGACGGGACTCCTATGCACTTACGTCTCCTACTCCCAGCGCCCGGCGCACGGTGGGGCTAGTGGTCACCGTTGGGCCGGGGGTGAGTTGCGCTATCGCGCGGGACCTACAGGTAGTGCCGGCACCGGGAGTCCCTGAGGCTCGTCTCTCACCTGTGTCTCCCACGGAAGCTAGCACCGGACTGGGCACATAGCACATAAACGTCGGCCGAATGCCGAAGAAGTGGGACTCCAGGTCCCTGGCTTGGGGGCGCTCACAGTCTAGCTGGGGGAGACAAGACCGGCGCTCATAGAACGCGGGAGCTGTAATAACAACAAGAGCGACTTCACCGCGCGCCCGCCTCACCTGGGCCTCAGCGCGGACGCCGGGCCGCGGACCCCCGCCCGCCCCACGCCCGCTCACCGTCCGGAATGACGAGGCTCCGGGCCCGGGACAGCGGGGTGACGCCGGGGCGACGCGCGTAGCCCGCCATCGCCGCGGGCCCCGCGGCGCCAGCCCTCCCTAGCCCGGCAGCGGCGGCTCCATGGCTCCGACTCCGCCCAGGCCGCGGCCCAAGTCGACCGCCCCAGTCGCCCGCCCCTCGGCCGCTGCTCCGAGCCTCCGGCCGCTGCTTCTGCTCCGCGTACCGGAAACGCAAGCCCGAACGCCTCGGGCCGGCGCCGGGGGGGCGGGGGGCCGGAGGCGGAACAGGAAGTGACGACAGAGTCGGTGGGCGGTGACTCAAGATGGCGGCTATGGTGCTGGCGGCGACGCGGCTGTTGCGAGGCTCGGGCTCCTGGGGCCGCTCGCGGCTGAGGTGAGCCGAGGGCCGGCCGGGGATCGGCCGGGGGCTGGGGCGGCCCGCGCCCTTCTGGACGCTCCGCCTTTGGCTCCCCCACGCCGAGGGGCGGCGCCCGGCAAGCGGGCTGGGAGTGCGGGACCCCCGTCCGGTCCCCGAGGCGACGGGGGCACTTACCCCCATGGCGCCCCGGGCTCCGGTCCCGAGCCCCATCCGCCTCTCTCCCGCCCTCTCCTCCCGGGCGGTCGGGGGGTGCTCGTCCGAAGTCACGTGTCATCTCCGCCCCGGCCCCTTCCGGCCGCGTGCCCCCTTGTGAGGCCGAGCCGGCAAGCCTGGGTTCTGTGGTCGCCAGAGCCATGTCCTTGACTGCTGTGCTCTGTCCCCTCTCCTCTGGATGTCTGGCCTTTTCCCGCACTGGCGCTTTCATTCGGGCGACAGATGGGTGTTGATCCCTCGCTGTGAGATCCTGGGTGCGATGGGGACAGAAACCAGGCACTGGGTCCAGGCAGTCTCATGCCCAAAGTGTCAGCTTTAAAGGGAGTAAGCTGCCTTCGGCGGTAAGAAACAGGAGAGACTAACTTCAGGTGGAACGAGGAGGAGCAGCTTACGAGGAGGTGACATCTGAGACAAGGGACGGGGACTGAGAGAAGGGTCAGCCCTGTGAACAGTGCAGGGGAAGGCGGGTCAGGCCGGGAACCGTGAGAACAGCAGCGAGGGGATGATGAGCCCAGTGTGTCCAGGGAACGGACCAACTGGCCAGTGGGACCCGGGCCTGGGGCGGGGGCGGGGGCTAGCAGATGAGTTTGGAGGGGGAGTTAGAGGCCTTCGGGACCCCGTGAAGAGATGTGGCTTCTGCTTAGGCGCCAGGGGGCTGTTGAAGGCAGGGCTTGGCCAAGTGCTCAGTGTGTAGAAACAGACTTAACCCACTTAACCCTCTTTTCATGGAGGCGGCATTTGAGGCCTCAAGGCCTGAACCAACTTGCCGCATGTCCCTGGGAACACCTCAGTGGTGTTCTCGGTCACTCCTCTGTGTTGTCTCTGGAGACGTGTAGAAGTCAGTCCTCTAGATAAGGAGATGCTGATTTTTTAAATGCACACAGAACACAAGTAACTGCACCTAGGTGGTCACCACAGGTCCCACCATCTCAGTTGTATTATACCTGGGCCGATTTCTGTGTTTCAGGTTTGGAGCCCCTGCGTACAGGCAGTTCAGTAGTGGCGGTGCCTATCCCAGCGTCCCCCTCTCTTCCCCCTTGCCTGGAGTACCCAAGCCTGTTTTTGCCACAGTTGATGGACAAGAGAAGTTTGAAACCAGAGTCACCACACTGGAGAATGGGCTTCGTGTGGCGTCCCAAAATAAGTTTGGGCAGTTTTGTACAGTAGGAAGTAAGTGCTGTCGGTAGCGTCGCGGGCGGCCCCGTTTGTTGTAACATGCACACACTTCAGTTGACTGTTAGTTGTACTTAGGGCATCGTTCATGAATTGTGTCCTGAGTGAAAAAGCATGGCGTAGAATCTGAAAATTTAGTAAGCAGAGTATGAACGGTGGCTCTCCTGGTGGTGGGTTTTGTTTCCTTCTTTCTGCCTTTCTGTCGTCCTAAAAGTTTTCTACCACAGATATAAAGTACGTAATTCTATAAATACTGACGTACGTATGTAGCTGTGAAAACCTTCGGAATCGAGGTAACGTACGTACTTGTCGTCCTCATGTGTTTAAATCTGGCTGTTTCGGTCATATTCACAATTTTGAAAGGTTTGTCTTGATTAAATTTTCTCTTTTGAATATCTGACTTAACCTGTCAACTTTATTTTTATTGCCAGTTCTTATTAACTCTGGATCAAGATATGAAGCAAAATATCTCAGTGGAATTGCTCACTTTTTGGAAAAGTTGGCATTTTCGGTCAGTGTCCAACTTGTGATATTTGAGGCTATACTTGGGAAGAATCTGTCAAGGTTTGCTTTTCTAAAGTGGATATTTTAATAAATGCTTAAGTTGCCAAGTCGATACTAATTAAGGCTTCTAAGTTAAGTGTTCTGAAAGCAAAAGTAAATTTTTTTCTTAAAAACTGTATCTTGGAGGTTGTTCTGCGTGGCTTACGTAGATTTTCTTATTCATTTTTCCTAGTCTACTGATCGATTTGACAGCAAAGATGAAATTTTGCTTACCTTGGAGAAGCACGGGGGTATTTGTGACTGCCAGACATCAAGGTACGCCAGCTTTCACGTACAGACTCATCTTTTATCATGTGGACTGTCCTCATCCTTGGTCAGAGTCCCCCTGAGCCCCTCCCATTGGCGAGGCCATGGAGGTGAATGGTGAGAAGTGAGCCCTGGTCCAGGCAGAGACTCGGGTGGAGGGTTGGGTGCGTGGCAACACTTACACAGAGGCATGCACTCCGAGGGCCAAGCCTCCCCTGCCATTCGAGCCAGGCTGCTGGCTGGGCACTGGGGATGCAGAGCAGGCCTGTCCCCAGGATGCTCACAGATGGGGCAAAGGGCTGCACCACGGGTGGTAGACGCAGGAGCCAGGGGCCGAGGGTGGTGGGACCGTGGGGGAGGTCAGGAAGGGAACGGTAGGCAACTCAGCGTCAGGGCTGCTGCTTGAAGGCGCCTGCCAGGTGGAATAACGGACGGCCGTGGCTCAGACTGAGGGGAGAGCAGGTGCAGAGGCTCAGCCTGGAAGAGGCAGTGGTCGGTTTGGGGTGGGGAAGGTTCACTAGGCAGCTGGGGCACAGATGGGGTGGGGGTGCTGTGGACAAAGGCAGGTGGTGTCTGTTTGCCCACTGTGGGGCATGTTTTGGAAAGCTCTGCTCAGGGCAATGTGAGATGAGCAGACAGAGATCACACTTTTTTTTTTTTTTTTGGTCCACGCCGGGTGGCATGCGGGATCTTAGTTCCCCGACCAGGGATCGAACCTGGGCCCCTGCAGTGGAAGCACAGAGTCCTAACCACTGGACCACCAGGGAAGTCCTAGATCATACTTTTTTTAAGTGGTTGGTTATTTCGATCTGAATGTTAAAAAAATTAGAGAGAAAACATAGGTTAAATGCCAAGAATTAGAGTTGACATGGAGGCAGCACGTTCACATATTCAAAAAAAGGTCTGTTCAGAAACTTGTGGCTCCCGGCTGCCCGTGAATGAAAGCCAGACTGGTTGGCTGTGTTCTTGTGAAAAATCTCATCCTCCGTCTCCCCAGGGAGCCCCTTTCTCTGGTCAGGCAGGCCTGTGTTCTGCCCCAGTGCAGCCAGCTAATTCTCAGCTCAGACTTTCGTTCCTGCCGCTCTCCCACGTGGTCCTACAGCACTTCCCCACTAAGAATGGCCCCTTCCCTGCAGAGGCCCTGATGGCCACGTCTCCCCTCCAGGGCTCGCTCCTCTCCCCGTGGCAGCTGGGCCCGCTCTGCGTGGTCTCTGGCCTGACTGTGCCGCCCTCGTGGCTCTGTGGTTGTCACGTTTGCGCCCCCCTGCCTCAGTGCGCCTGTCTGATCACAGTGCCACGTGCTATGAGCTACTGTTACAATCAGTTTCTGTCCCCCAGCCGTCTAAGGCCAGGCATGCGCCCGTGTGGACAGTTCGCCTAGCGGACAGTCAGCGCAGGATGATACGAGTAGCCTCAGAGGGGGCTTGTGCTGGTGAAAACCGCTCAGCTGCCTCTCCAGTTGGGCTGGACAGTGTCTTCCACTCCAGCAATTAGCCTGTGCACAGCTGTGGTTCCTGCCTGCTAAGAGTTTACACTGTAAGATGGGAAAGGGGAAATAGCCCCAGGTGTGTGCTGACCCTCGACGCAGAAAGATGTAGCCGCCTCCCCTGCCGCCCCAGCATACACCTGTCGTGACCTTAGCGCCCCCAGTGTTGGTCTTGTTGGTTTTTCCAGAGACACCACCATGTATGCTGTGTCTGCTGATTCCAAAGGCCTGGACACGGTAGTTGGCTTGCTGGCAGACGTGGTCCTGCACCCCAGGCTAACAGGTGTGCGTTCGGCCTGCTTGAGGGGTCCTGGGGTGGGGGGCAGTGCTGGGAGGTGTGTTGACTCACTGCCCCCGGGGAGGGGCGCTGTGTCATGGAGCCTTGGGCCCGCCCACCAGTGACAGTCAGCAGGGGGTCACTGGAAACAACGCTCACGATTAGAAAGGTCCTTGATACTGAATACTTCGACACTTCCTCTCTGTGCCCTTTGACGTTTGTAGCGAAATGGTTCTTTCATTTCAGAAAAGCATCTCAGATGGTGTTTAAACACCCTGACTGACGTGCTACCAGAAGTTTCTGTGTCTCTGTCCCCATTCCCGTCCTCAGCCTTGCGAACGGCAGGACTTCAGGCTCCCTTCTGGGAGCTGACACTGCGCTGTTTCACAGCAGCCTGGCCTTGGGGTTCCCAGGTTCCAGTTACCTGATAAAACACACCCCCGCCATTGGTCTGTGCCTCTGTGTCTGGACCTCAGTGCCTCGTACGGGGAGGAAGCCACGGCTCGGAGCGGGGCCAGGTGGCTGCTTCCGGGCAGAGGGGAGGAGGCCCAGTTCATACAGTTCGTCCCGGCCTGCAGGGCACTCTCCTCGTCGCTCGTACAAGTGCCCCCCAGCTCTGCCGCAGAGGAAGGCAGAGGAGGCTCTGCCCGTGCCTGCCGATGAACGACACTGGGCCCCGCTCGGCGACCCAGGCTCGGGGCGGCCTCCGGCTGAGCCTCGTCTATGGTTCTCTGCAGATGAAGAGATCGAGCTGACGCGTATGGCTGTCCGGTTTGAGCTGGAGGACCTCGGCATGCGGCCCGACCCGGAGCCCCTTCTCACCGAGATGATTCACGAGGTGCAATGGACATGCGGGCCACCTCCACGGCCTCGCCCCCTGACCCCGGGCTCGGCGGGGGTCGTTCACCTGCCTGATGCCACCTTGCAGAACATTTTTAATTTCTGAATTTGTTAGCTATGCAAGTTTTAAACTTTCTAATCCTTACGGTAACGAGGTCTGTAGAGTGAGCCTTTTATTTGACGTTTCTTACGAGTTTTCGTTTCGAAGAGGCAGGTTTACTCTTTCTGTAAACACACAGAGCTGTTCCTGCCAAACGGGAGCTGAAACGAGCAGCTGGCGGGCTTTTCCCATCAGGCCGCAGGGCGCCGCCGTCCCGGCCTGCCTGGGGAGGCCCGGGCTTTTCCCAT